TAGTTAACATAACTTTTCACTAAATCCTGCTCGCAAGTTACGTTAAATTCCTACCAGCGTTATAATGATAAGCATAACAATAACCGTACATATCGCAAGCTTGATGAGTACGATGTAATGATATTCCCAGTGCAAAGGCTTCAGCGAGGATTCAAAATTATTCGGCATCCCGCAACCCTGCGAAATTATACCATTTCCATTCGCACGCCTCCTCCTTTCTCCATCTTTTTTCTACGCGCGCATAATTTCTTAGCTCGCGCCTTCTGGCTCGCGTCATCTGCACACGTGTAACCGTGCCAACGATCCATATTCCAAAATCACATTGTATTGCCGTGAACCGTCGGCGGCGGCGGCGACGGTGAAGGCGGAAGTCACAGAGGGAGAGAGAGGACATTTCAGCACGGGCATATGCAGCACGGAGTCTGGAAGCGCGCCTAGTGCGCCGAGTGCATTCACTATTCACTTATCTAGGTCAGTTTGCCCAACCCAGCCGAGGCCTCGACCCTCCCCGAAATCCACCACGGCTTCGTCAAACTCACCCCGTACTCCCTGAGAACCGGCTGGGTCCCACCCATCTCTGTGGCAACGGTTAGTTATCTTGACGATGTTTTCATTTGGCGGAGCGGGAGGGTGATAGAGAGAGAGAGAAAGAGAGAGAGAGAGAGAGAGAGAGAGAGAGAGAGAGAGAGAGAGAGAGAGAGAGAGAGAGGGCGGCAAAGTACAGGCCGACAGGATCTGCACGAGAGAAGAAGCGAGCTCTGAAAGCTTTCAGAGCTCACCTCCTGTTTCTCTCTCGTAAATGAAAGAACGGCCGGGAGAGCATCGTCGAGGTCGGACGATGAAAAATAGGAAGGGTCGTGGCCGGAGGAACAACGTGGAAACCATTTTTTGTCCTTTATTTCTCTCACTCTCTCCTTCCTTCCTTCCTTCCTTCCTTCCTTCTTTCCTCCATGTCGTCCCGTCAACCTCTACCGACGATGAACGATCTTATTTTGCGTACGGTGTCCTCGGTATCAAGCTCATATAAAATTCGCCCGTCCGACCAGAATGTAGGCGGGGGTGACACGTGGAGAGATCTCACGTCGTCCGTCCAGATTTTGAGACACTTTAAATCGCCCGGAATCTACTTTACGAGGATCAAAAGAATTTTTTTGTCGGTGCTTCTCGAACGCCAAGACTCAGCCGGACTTGGAGAGAGGGAAGGGGGACATTATGTTAACATGGCCTCGCACTTCCAATCGGGGAACCCGAGATACGTGGGAAGCATTGTAGTAAAATGTTCCTTCGAGTTGCATTCTTTTTACTTCTTACAACGTTCCAAATAACCCTCACTTTGAGAAACTTTAGGAGAGCTTCTTCTTCTTTGTCGGTCGTACTTATAAGTGTCTTTGTGCTTATGAGACAGTCCTCGTACGTATGTTTGGTTGATTACCGAAAGTGGCGCGAAAATTTTTCAAAAAGAATATTTCCCTCGGCGTAATGTCCGTTCTCGTTTGTTGCGCGACATTTACGTCACCCGGAACACGACGTTTTCATTCGGCCAGTAAAATCCGATGTTATTACCGGGCGCGTTTATTTCTCGAAGTTTGCCGCGTCGTGTCGCGCGATATATATGAATATATGCGACAGAATGCGCGACGAGATCCAAAGATGCGTGATAAGCACGCGTTTCTCTACGACAGCTTACAGTGTTTATGCTAATAGCGATGTCCTTATCGTGCGCTTTTATCTCCTAGTAAAGGAGAAATCCATCTCGTCGGCAAGCAAAATTTGCATAAACGTGTTTACCACTATCATACACGTTGAATCGCGCCGGTAATTATCCTTTGCCGATTAATTGTGCCGTTGCACAATTGTGGTTTTACATTATATAACCATGGTTATATACGCATTATATACGCTATTGCGTATCGCCGATATCACATGATACGTTTCGGTAATGTTCTTCTCTCGAAGAATTTTTTCAAAATTTCTACATTTTGAATTACCAATATCTGTATTTTCATATAACCACGCGTACATATGGTCTATGAAATGTTCAAGAGTAAACAAATATTCCACTGTAGCTGATTGCAGTAGTTTATTGTAATTTTATTAGGGGAAGTTTTCTGGTATAATTAGCCGAGAAAATAAAAACTTTTTGTGAATCTTTTCCGAAGAGATTATATATATATATATATATATATATATATATATATATATATATATATATATATATATATAATCTCTTCGGAAAAGATTCACAAAAAGTTTTTATTTTCTCGGCTAATTATACCAGAAAACTTCCCCTAATAAAATTACAATAAACTACTGCAATCAGCTACAGTGGAATATTTGTTTACTCTTGAACATTTCATAGACCATATGTACGCGTGGTTATATGAAAATACAGATATTGGTAATTCAAAATGTAGAAATTTTGAAAAAATTCTTCGAGAGAAGAACATTACCGAAACGTATCATGTGATATCGGCGATACGCAATAGCGTATATAATGCGTATATAACCATGGTTATATAATGTAAAACCACAATTGTGCAACGGCACAATTAATCGGCAAAGGATAATTACCGGCGCGATTCAACGTGTATGATAGTGGTAAACACGTTTATGCAAATTTTGCTTGCCGACGAGATGGATTTCTCCTTTACTAGGAGATAAAAGCGCACGATAAGGACATCGCTATTAGCATAAACACTGTAAGCTGTCGTAGAGAAACGCGTGCTTATCACGCATCTTTGGATCTCGTCGCGCATTCTGTCGCATATATTCATATATATCGCGCGACACGACGCGGCAAACTTCGAGAAATAAACGCGCCCGGTAATAACATCGGATTTTACTGGCCGAATGAAAACGTCGTGTTCCGGGTGACGTAAATGTCGCGCAACAAACGAGAACGGACATTACGCCGAGGGAAATATTCTTTTTGAAAAATTTTCGCGCCACTTTCGGTAATCAACCAAACATACGTACGAGGACTGTCTCATAAGCACAAAGACACTTATAAGTACGACCGACAAAGAAGAAGAAGCTCTCCTAAAGTTTCTCAAAGTGAGGGTTATTTGGAACGTTGTAAGAAGTAAAAAGAATGCAACTCGAAGGAACATTTTACTACAATGCTTCCCACGTATCTCGGGTTCCCCGATTGGAAGTGCGAGGCCATGTTAACATAATGTCCCCCTTCCCTCTCTCCAAGTCCGGCTGAGTCTTGGCGTTCGAGAAGCACCGACAAAAAAATTCTTTTGATCCTCGTAAAGTAGATTCCGGGCGATTTAAAGTGTCTCAAAATCTGGACGGACGACGTGAGATCTCTCCACGTGTCACCCCCGCCTACATT